CTGGGGAATTCTGGGAGTTGAAATCCACAAAGTTACGTTTGGAGACCCCTGATCTAGAACCTCTTCCTTCTTTTCCTCCTTGCCTTGGAAGAAAAATGCTCTTCCATGCCAGGTTCCCCACAAAGCATGGCTGAGGCCCATGGATCTGGATCAGAATCATATAAGTCCCCATTTTAAGACGCCAGTACAGACTGAGAGGCAGAAGTGAAGAAGAAAGCCTGCTAGTCATGTTTAAAATCCCTCAGTGGAGCTGTTAATGGATACCTGACATCTAAATTTATCTTAAAAATAAAAGGTGAACAAAAGGTCCAGGTGAAGAATCACCAGGTAAAAAAACCAAAATAATAAGGTGAGATTCTCAAGCACCTTCAATACTTAAATTTTTAAGGCAGGACACTTCTCCATGAGCCCTCTAATGTCCCTAAAAATTTAAAAGTTAAGATATGCACCTTGACTATGCCTACATCTAGGAACTACAAGTAGTCCTTGACTTACGACAGTTCATTTAGTGACCGATCAAAGCTACAATGGCACTGAAAAAAGTTTGTCACACTTGTAACCGTTGCAGCATCCCCCTGGTCACGTCATCAAAATTTGGACACTTGGCAACTGGCATGTAGTTATGACGGTTGCAGTGTCCCAGGGTCACGTGATCCCCTTTTGCGACCTTTGCAAAGTCAATGGGGAAGCCAGATTCACTTAACAACCAGATGATTAACTTAACAACTGCAACGATTCACTTAACAACTGTGGAAAGAAAAGCTGTCAAATGGGGCCAAACTCAATGAACAAATGTCTCACTTAGCAACGTAAATTTTGGGCTCAATTAGGGTCATAAGTCAAGGACTACCTGTAGCGGAACTCTAAATAAATAAATAAATAAATAAATAAATAAATAAATAAATAAATAAATAAATAAATAAATAAATAAATAAATAAATAAATAAATAAATAAATAAATAAATAAATAAATAAATAAATAAATAAATAAATAAATAATGCATTGTTTCCACCGTTGATGATCTTTGAAAATGATCGAAAATAAACACATTCCAGATGAGAGAAGACCCTGGACATTTTCAAAGTTTTCCCACAGTCAACACAACATTAAGAGATGTTATATACCACGAAGGTACCGAATTATGCCATATGGAAACAAGTAAACAATCTGGGATGAAACATTCTGGGAGTTGAAGTCCACAAGTCATAAAAGGGCCAAGTTTGAAGACCCCTGATCTAGAAGAACATCTAGGTGGCGAACTTGACAAGCATCAATGTTCTTCTCAGTGAGCATGGCCTTCATTTGACTGCTGTCTCGTTCCTTCATTTTTATCCAGTTGTTTATTATTATTATTATTATTATTATTGTTGTTGTTGTTGTTGTTGTTGTTGTTGTTATTATTATTATTAGTCATGAGGCCTGACTTATCCAAGATAGGAGAAACCAGCAGATCTCTGGATGTTGTCTGGGTTTCTGTATGATTGTATATTGCGCTTGGGGAGTGATTTTTAATAAACATTTCTTGGGAAGATTGACATTGTTCTAAATCTTCCTCACTTCAAGACTTTGCCGTCATCAGAGGAGCCCCAGAATTCAGAGTTTTATAGCATTTTTCAAACTGATAGACATCAATCGCTTTTTTCTTTTTGGAGTCCTCAAAATTTTCCTTTAACCAGAACATTACATGCCTCTAAACATTGTTCCTCAAGCTTGGCAATTCTGAAGCTTGTTTGCTGGCTGGGGAATTCTGGGAGTTGAAGTCCACATATCTGAAAATTGCCAAGCTTGATAAACACTGTTCTAGAATCTGTGTAGTAAGAACTTCACTCTGATGAGCTGAACCAAAGTTTATGAAACTCACAAGGCTGGTTTTAGTTATCCCTTTAAAATGAATTTGCTGAACTGGGGATAAGATAATGATTTTTCCATGCTGGAACAATTCCCCTAGGAAGATTTGGTTTATGAAATTTATCAAAGACAAGGACTACAATTAGTTCAGGTTCTCTTTTATATAGTGGAACTTATTTCTGCAAAAGCTAGAAAATCCAAAAGAGGTGAATACATATTCCCCAAAATTTTATAATCCTTAGCTTTTTTTTCCTTCTTGCAAACTTTGATTTAAGTTAAACAGCTTAAAACCAGAGAGCTTATGTGGCTTTCGAAAGCCCTGATTAGTGCCAAATTTAAATGAGCAATAAAACCCAAAGTGAAAAAAATAAAATATATGGAGAGTAATTATATTAAATTGCGCACATCCACATAACCATCAGGCGTTCAGCTTGATTTGAGAAAGACACAACTTTTAAAATTAAGTTACTTTTGACTTAAAACTTCTATTCATTTAAATTTGTCTTAATTCCACTGATTTGGGGGTGGGGAATGCACACTGAAATAAACTATAGCACCTACATGAAAGCACCCTTATTCTAAATTTTATAGTTTATTTCTATAAAGTAGTCATCTCTAACTTAGCACTCCAGGATGAGTGTTTCTCAAATTCTGTAATTTTGATATGCTGGCTGGGAATTCTAGGAGTTGAAGTCCACCCATCTTAAAGTTGTGGGATTTGAGAAACTGGCTGATATCCCCAGAATTCTCAGGCAGATTTTTTGCAACTGTGAGATTTTTAAAAAAAATCAGTTTTAACTCCTAGTGCATATGTTCACGGTACCACCTTAAGGTGTGGGCAACCTTGGCTCTTTTATGACTCGTGGACTTCAACTCCCAGAATTCCTGAGCCAGCCATGCTGAGGGGAAAGGGAGAGGTTTCCAAGCTGAGCCATGCTGGCTCAGGAATTCTGGGAGTTGAAGTCCACGAGTCATAAAAGAGCCAAGGTTGCCTACCCTTGTCCTAGTGCCTATAAAGTCCCTGAAGTTTTCTTGGCAACATTTTCAAAAATAGTGTTTCTTTGCCTTTTTCTTTCTAAGGCCCAGAGAGAGGACTGGCCCAAAGTCACCCAGCTGGTTTTGTGTCTAAGGCAAGACTGCCATTAAGAGTCACCCCAGCTTCTACTTCCACTACTGCCTTTATAACCATTAAGCCAAACTGGCTTCTCATATCAAGGTTAGCATGTTGTTAAGTGGTATGAGCTGTACTAGCAATTCAAGGTCACCTCGGTATTTTTATACTGGATAAAAATACAACTGAAATACCATATGTACAATTGTGATGTATAAGCAGTTACAGACCAAATAGAATGATATACCGGCATAAAAGTAAAGCTGTAATTCCGCACTAGAGTGCCTAGTCCTTTTTAATCAGAATCTTAATTTTAAGTTAATCTTCCATATTCCCGCTTTTGTTATTTTTACAAATAATTAAAGATGGCAAACATATCTACAAACTTAAAACACCAAGGTTGCATATATGTTTAATTGAAAGAAAATAAGCCTCCTTCATTTCAGTGGCACCTTTGAGTTAACTGTGATGTAAATTATCAGCAATTTTATCACACGCCTTAAAAGGGTATTCTAAGAACTCTATAAAGACGATAAAACTGTGCGGTATAAACTAAGAGTCAATAGCATAAAAGAACACCAGCAAGGAAATCAGATTTCAGTAGAAATATTGGTAAAATTTCAATAGAAATACTGGTAAAACAGAAATATATTTGTAAAATTTATAGGCTGGCCTTGTTACCTCAAAATAACTATGGGTGGCTTACAGTTATTAATAACAATACATGTTTTTTTTCCATTGGCTTCATATTTGGGCTGCAATAAGCTGGATGAGCTCCCACTTTCACTGGTCTGCCATCCAGGGATTATCTGGAATTCTACAGCCTAGATATGGCGTCCTTTACTCTTTCTAACTAGGTTTTGTTTGCAAGAAACTAGCAGAGAAGGACTGATCACTTACATAGAACAATAACCCTAAAGTCTTTCAAACATTCTGACCCAGATCCCAGTTAAAGTCAAGCTGCAGACCAAGATTCACGGTGACTCTCTCTCTCTCTCCTCCACTTACAAAACAACTTCCAGAAATAGCAATGTTTCTCCACCCCCCACCTCCCCCCAAAAGTCAGAACACTCAGCAATGAAGCCCTGGTGATACCAGTCTACTAAGAATGAGGCGAGAACTGCTTACAGATCCTGGATCCATCCTCTGAAGTAAAATCATGTAGCAACACGTATGTAATACCATTCATAGGCTGTACAGGATACATCTCAAGAGATTTGTTTTCCTATTTTGGCTGCCTGATTTCTCCCAGAGGTCCAGATCTCAGTCGCTTGCTTAAGTGAACATTTCGTGACAACTCGGAAAGATGATCCCTTACCCTTTCCTTAATCCCCTTCCCTAATCCCCTTTCACTTTTTAATCTAGGGAAAGTGCAAATTCAAACAGCCGGAGAAATACCATTTCCTCTCTCTCGCTTGCACAATTACTTGCGCCACCCCTACCGATATCCTTAAGCAACTCAAACCCGACTCTCCAACCATCCAGCCATATGAACGTTCCCCAAAACAGAATCAATGCTGATCGAGCAGGGGAGATGAACATTTCCAACCCACCGAGGGGAGAAGAGGGTTGGTGGTTCTTGCAGACAAAAGATCCAGGTGTTTTACAAACCAAGCAAGATTAACAAACACAAAAAGAGAGAGGCGCACCCCTTCCCCTCGCCCCCCCAACCGGGTTTAAGGAAGAAAGAAAAGGAGGAAGGCGGGAGGAGAAAGAAATGAGAGAGAGAGAGAGAGAGAGAGAGAGAGAGAGAGAGAGAGAGAGAGAGAGAGAAAACCAGGCAGACGGCAAAAAAAAATTCCAGACACGCCAGCGTCAAGATGGCGTAGAAACAAGCAGGCCTCTGGAGAGAAAACACCCACTCTTCTTTCTCTCTTGCATACCCAATTCTCCGAACCCCAAACCCCAAATCGTTGAATTCCCAAAGGAAAAGAAAAGGAGCATTTTCCTAACAGGTCAAAATAATGCTGTGCGGGTCCCTCAGAAAAGCAGCAGTCAAATCCCCACCTCCGATCAAGACCGCCCGGACTCAAACAATACCTGTTTTTTCTTTGATTTCGCAGAGGACAGTGAAGAGAGCCGGCTTCATGCGGTGACAATTCAGCGTGTGCTTCCTGCAGTTGAAACAGTGGAAGAGAAAGAGCAGATAAAGCCATTTGGTTCGTTTTCTGTCGTTTGGAAAGAGCTGAAGGTTTCAAGAAAAGGGAGAATCTACGCTTGTGTCCACCATCGCTCATAGGCCTCGCT